CACCAAACAAACACCCCCACCCCCCCCACAACCCAACACCCCACACCCCCCCCCCTCCCCCCTCCCCCTCCCCTGTCCCCCCCCGGTGATTGCCATCGGGGTTGGATTTTCGTCGCTTGGCAACGACGTTGTAAAACAAGCCCCCCTCGGTGTTTGCCATCCGGGTTGGGTTTTCGTCGTATGGCAACGACGTTGTTGTAAAACAAGCCAATCACTTCGTGGGCTCGGCAACCAGGTTGCATTTTTTTTTTCATCTCTGGTTTTCTCTTTGCGGTAACCGCAATGGTGGCCGAGTAGATTATGTTGTGCGGGGTCGAGGACCGTCACTCCGCGCAAGGGAGATGATCGCACCACGTTGTGTTAAAGATGGTCAAGCTTTGTCAAGCACGCTTGAGGCAGTTACACAGTGCCAATAACTGTCTCTGGAAGTGGAAGCACCAGAAAATAATAAAGTCCTACGCAGCTGTCATTCGCACGCAAGGAAGTAAGCACAAGATGCCGAACACCCTTAGCAGGTTGCAGCGCACCCTTCATACGACTCGCCGAATACCTCACGGCGCTTCGCGCTTGGTGATGTGAGAGCCTGGTCTTTGTAGGGGATTCGAGGTCAATGTTCGAACGACGACGGCATGCACGACCATAAGTACCCACCCCCCCCGCTCCTCGCTGGCCTTCGTCCCGTATCTGCTCTTCATATCTATTTCCAAATCAACGAAGACATTTCCATGTTCACCTGCTGCCTCCAAAATAGTGGCGTAAAAGTTTCGTACGAGTTCGTTCTCGAAGAAACCAATGGACGACGTCATGCTATGGACATGGTAAACGAGGTGCCCCCGTTGGTGGAAGAACCTAGCCTAGCCATTCGTGACGGGTTTTTCCCCTCTGTCCAGAGAGTCCCACAGGCATTGATTGCTTTCTTCGCTCTCCCGTCGGCCAACCCATTCCAGGTCGTGAGCACGGCAGTCGCGTGGACGAGTCTGGGCTTCTCTTCTGACTTAATGATGATCGGATCGGACGCCGTCATCGGCCTGCCTGACGAGTCTGCCGTCGAGGAGTACGACCTGATCTCCCAGGTAATAACCGGGATCAAACACGTCGATTTGGCACTGCCGAGCGACGTTAGTTTATGTTGCAGTACGGTGCTGGAGATTGCCGCGCCCTCGACGTTTGCTTCATCGGTCGCGTTGTTCTCGCACGTGCAGCACTGCTGCTGAGGTTCTTGAAGTTTTTCTGGCTTTAGAATGTGGTGGTGAGAGGATGATTGGATGACCGGCCCGTTCATGATGAAAAGCTTCAATCTCGTATTCCACGTTTGTCTTTCTTTCACGTTCTGTAGTATTTTTTGTGCGCATGCCCGAAGAATCAGAGTTGAGCGCACCGATTGCATTTCTTTCTTCAACGTTGTCGCTGGTATGCATCACGAATACTCACCGTGACCTTCTTGTGGGCTGACGATTTCTCCCTTTGGATGGAATCCGTTCCCCAGTTGTAGTGTAACCCCCCTCTTACCGTGCCTTCCTTTTCCCCCTCTCCCCGTCCCCATTCGACTCGCATACATCTTTTCCCCGGCACGAATCGTGGCAAACTTTGCCGGCCCAACAACTCAACCCTTTTCGCCGCGAAACGCAAGACGACCGCGGGAGTGCTGCCCTCCGCAACGCAAGATATCACCGGCGGCTCGGTTAGCCAAGACGCGTCTGGCACGACCCTCTCCTTCACCCGGCCCCTAGCCCCCGCGAACAAGCAGGCCATCTCGGGAACTCCCGGGGACGAGACCATATTCCTCTACGCCTTCGGCGGGGACAACGAGCTCGGGTTCCACGGACTGGCCCCCAACCGGGGGTCCTTGGTCTTGGATCTCTTCTGCGGGGACGGCGGCGACGGCGACGGTGCGACGGTCGCTGGAACACCTGCCCCGACCGTCGGCGGAACTCCCACCGCTTCGGAGGCCTCCTCTGCGGCACCGATCGCCGCCGACACGCCGACGGCGGCGCCCACGATCGCTGGAACGCCTGCCGCGACCGGCGGCGGAACTCCCGCCGCTTCGGAGGCCTCCTCTGCGGCACCGATCGCCGCCGACACGCCGACGGCGGGGCCAACGATGGCGGTGTCAGGAACGCCTCCGTCTTCGACCCTCTCCGTGGCGCCGACGACTTTGGAGTCAGAAACGGGCTCCTCCTCCGCTCCCTCTGCGGCACCCACCGGCGTCGAGGGGTCCACATCCTCGCCCACGGGGGCTGCAGGGATGACGGGCTCGGAAACCATGGCGCCCAGCGCCGCCGATGGTGACAGGGGCGTCGATGTTCCCGGAGAGACTCGCGCTCCTACCGATGCCTCCGATTCGCTGCTGATTACCGAAAGCCCGTCGGCGGCGGGGGAAGGCCTGGTGGAGGAGGAGACGGACGGCGCTCTCCGCGTGGGAGGCGGGGGCAGGTGGGCGGCGGCGGCGGCGACTGGGTTCGTGACGGTGCTTGCCGTCCTGTCGTCGCTCTAGTGCGGCAGCCAGGCGGGGGCGTGAGCGGTAATCACATTGAAATCACATTGAATGTTTTGCTTTTTGGTCTTCGGACGCACGCACGCACGCACACAAGCACGCGTAGAATATAGTCTGCTGTCTTTTAGTTTGTTTCTTTTGCTGCATGTCTGCGGTGCGTCCATATGTACCCTTCCTCAATATGTGGGGATCTGTTTCTCAACAAATGCTGTAGGACGTCCACCTTCACTGCTGTGTCTGCGTTGATGTTGTCAATTCTCATTTTTGCGTGTGGTGCCGTGGTTGCTCATTCAGGGCACGGCGGGGCCTTTATATTTGTCGCATCACTTGCCTTTGTCAGAGTGCGTTGTGGCCTACTCTCTTTGTTCATTCAGTCCCAGTGCAGACCTTGCCTCTCGCGCATGATGTTAATCGGCGTCTGGCCTACTCTCTTTGTTCATTCAGTCCCATTGCAGACCTTTGCCTCTCGCGCATGATATTAATCGGCGGCGATCAAAGTGTGTTGTGCGCCCGTGCATGGTTGCGATGTTTTGCGTTGGTCTGCGTTAGTTGACCTACGTGCGCGGAGATAAATAAGTTAAGTAGCGTGAAGTCTAGGCAGCGTGCGAACCTTGGTGCGCGTTGTGCGAAAAACTCGGCGGGGGATAGGAATATGGGCTGCGACGAGAGTCCGGCTTCGGTGACATTTTATATTCCTCTTTGAGGCCTGAGAAAGACCGCCGCAGGCATTTTTCATTTAGCCGCTAGGGAATGTAGGATCATTGCAGCACTTGATAAGGTGATGCGGTTGGAATACAAGGTGTCAATAATGCATTTTTGGCTGTTCGGTTAACAACGATGTTGACGTTATGACTTCGACCAATTTGTATGGGTGTGGTGTTGATGGGGAGCGTTACCGGCGGTAGATACGAGTGCGAGAGAGCTGTATGGTTTCCTGCGAATACTCGAGGTCGTCCTCGGTATATGCACAGTCTGTTGCTTTGGGTGTATGTAGCAGGCGTTCCGAAACAGAAAGTGTGTTCTGTTTCGCGGAGGAATGCTTCCCGGACGGCGCCAGCTGTCTGCTGGCCGCCCGTACACACGGCATGTTGGTTGAAGGACAATGCATACTAGATTTGTGTCGCAGCTTGCCTCGTGCAACCGTGCCTGCTGGTCCTCTACGAGTTATTATTTATGTTTTGAGGTGGTATCTCGCTTCCACCGGGTGTTGCAAACGCGGAATTCCGGTTTTGAACGTAACGTGAACACGTAGAGAGCACAGACGAGATGAAGAACCGCACACAACTAATCAATACCTGTTTGGTTGAAGGAACAATGCATCCTGCAGTGACTCCCTGTCCATCGAGGACCAGGGAAGGAAAATAATAACAACGTCATATGCTAGGTACAAGGTCGAGGTTCTGGTGTTTAGTTTTTATCTGGCGATTGCGTACATACCGATCTTTTTGTGTGTGTCTCATGCGGGAAAGCGGTATCTACAGCATGCACGATCACCCATACCAGAGACAATATTATTGTCGGGAGAATCGTCAATGAGGCTGAATCTCGCCGAGGGCTTTGCCATGATGTCATGACATGTTGATTTCGTGACGCTGTGACACGGTCACATCTCGCTTTCTCCACCACCCATCATACATTGAGACGCTGCCGCCCTGGCTCTGCTACCCTGTGCCGGGATAGCTGATAGCTGATACAGCGGCCCTTGACCACACGCTGTGCGGAAATTTGATCCAACCGACTGTATGCTCATGTTACTCATACACGCAAGTTTGTTTTGGAGTGTTACTTAGATTCTCAGTTCAAAGAGGTTCCTCATCGTGCTAAAACTCAAAACAGATTTTCGTTGGTCGGGAGCAATTGGATGGTTGAAACGTCACAGCGCTACACGTCTTTGGGGGTAGACCGTTCAGCTAGAGTATTCCATGTGCTGCCTCGACATCGCTTGTTCCGCACCCACCATGACGCTTAACCTCTCCAACCCACACGAGCCAACCAAACCACGAAAACAGATCGGGCACATTCAGGCGTCGCAAAAACCCGAGACGATGCTTGGACGCGTTTGTCCGCACGCCTACTTGGCCTACTACTACTGCACATTTCATGCGTTGTTTCGCTTCTAGATAGGCACCACATACAACAGACAGTGGTGGAATTCTGACGTACATTCGTCCGACACAGGTTGGATTTCCTTCAGCCCCAACAAGAATATCATCCAACGGTTTCTGTCACCACTGCCTCCCCCTGGGAAGCCTGAAGCACGCTATTCAAGCCTACTCCCCCGGTTCTTGTTCTTCACGCTTTTCCTGGAGGGCGAGCGGAAAGCACCTTCGTAACTACCATCATGCAATACCAAATGCTGAGCACGAACGAACGCCATGGTGTTTGCCAGGCATCCCGTGTCCATGTTCTCTCGTCACAGGTGTACCGACCTCCAGTCGTTTTCTCACAAGCCCCACCCCTGGAACCGTCACCCCCCCCCCCCCCTTCGCTCCTACTTGCAACCACATGAAGACACCCGGAAGGACATCCATCTTTGTCGTCTCGTCCACGGAAAGAGTCGTTGCCGCGGCACGACCCCCTATCAGGGTGTTGGGTTAGTTGTTTCTTATCCATGCACATACGTGATCGTGTGATCCTTCAGCCCGGTCTAGGCAATCGTCCCTGTCCCAGGGGCATCCGTTGCTTCTCGTCCACTTAGGGACCTCAAGATGTCCGTTGGCAGCCGCCTTAGAGCACGTGGTCTCGTCCCAGGGGCATCCGTTGTTTCTAGCCCACTGAAGGACCTCAAGGTGTCCGTTCTTAGCCGATTCAGAGCATGTCGCCTCGTTCCAGGAGCATCCGTTGTTCCTTGCCCATTGGAGGACCTCAAGGTGTCCGTTGTAAGCCGCCCACCAGCACGTGGTCTCGTTCCAGGGGCATCCATTGTTTCTTGCCCATTGAAGGACCTCGAGATGTCCGTTGGCAGCCGCCTTAGAGCACGTGGTCTCGTCCTAGGGGCACCCGTTGTTTCTCGTCCACTGGAGGACCTCGAGATGTCCGTTGTAAGATGCCTTAGAGCACGTGGTCTCGTTCCAGGGGCATCCGTTGCTTCTCGCCCACTGAAGGACCTCGAGATGTCCGTTGGCAGCCGCCTCAGAGCACGTGGTCTCGTCCCAGGGGCATCCGTTGTTTCTCGCCCACTGAAGGACCTCGAGATGTCCGTGGCCAGCCGCCCACCAGCACGTGTCCTCGTCCCAGGGGCATCCGTTGCTTCTCGCCCACTGGAGGACCTCGAGATGTCCGTCGGCAGCCGCCCACCAGCACGTGCTCTCGTCCCAGGGGCATCCGTTGCTTCTCGCCCACTGGAGGACCTCGAGACGTCCGTTGTAAGCCGCCTCAGAGCACGTGGTCTCGTCCCAGGGGCATCCGTTGTTTCTTGCCCACTCAAGGACCTCGAGATGTCCGTAGGCAGCCGCCTTATGGCACGTGTTCTCGTCCCAGGGGCATCCGTTGCTTCTCGCCCTCTGAAGGACCTCGAGATGTCCGTAGGCAGCCGCCGTAAAGCACGTGTTCTCGTCCCAGGGGCATCCGTTGTTTCTCGCCCACTTGAGGACCTCAAGGTGTCCGTTGGCAGCCGCCCACCAGCACGTGGTCTCGTCCCAGGGGCACCCGTTGTTTCTTGCCCACTGAAGGACCTCGAGGTGACCGATGCTTGCTGCTTTCCTGCAGAGCTGCTCATCTCCCACGTCGACATACCAGCCTGGATTTCTAAGGTTCGAAGAGAGGTGGTACACCACGCGTTAGTCGGTAGACCGGACACCCCGGCTGGCACACGGTATAGGCTTCACGCCAATCCATCACGTCGAAGGCTGAGATATCTGAATTGAATATAGGCCAGGATCATCAATATTCCGCCGAGATGTTCTTCAACGTATGTTCACTATCATGGATGGGCTACAGGGAAGGACCGGTGTCAAGGCGCGTCCCTGCTCAGCAAAAATTCCACGTGAAATTAGCGGTGACAGGCGGAATTCAGGACGCTGCTGAAACGCCTTACCCTGATGCGAGTAGAACTGCTTGTTTCTCCGCCTCCCTCCGTGCACGCGCCTCGTCCGCCTTCAGCATGACATGTTGTACGGGTGCAGCGGGACAACTTGAAATTTGTGATGTGGTCGTTTATCAGGATGAAATACCGAATATTGACCTACCGTGACACTTTCAGAGAGACGTATGGGAGGAACGGGGACACCACGAGGCCTCGGGCATGTTCCGAGCAACTAAATGGTCCGTGCTGCACATTGAGTAGTCCTCGCGGCACCCCGCTACCCCGGCTCGCGGGCAACGTTAAGGTTGGTATCGTGGTGCGGATTGGATGGTGGCCGAGGTCTGCTTGGGGTCGGGGGCCTCGAGTGGCAGTGGACGGGTACTGCTGTTCGTTCAGCGAAATTAGGGGGCGCAGTGGACATCTACTCACCGCTTCCTGTGCTTCCGCCGCCCTGATGGCCGCTCCCTTGGCTAGAAAAGGGGCGAGATCATCTTTCGCTCCATGACCGCCGTTTGTGCTTCAGCAAACTTTGCCGACTGGGAAGGAGGAGAGGGGGCGGGAGAAGGAAGGTTGAGTTGTTGAGAAGAACGGGGTCAAGTACGTCCTCCACGGACATAGCCCCGAGGTGCTACATTGTAAACCAAACGAAATGAGGCATGTCATTCGGCTTGTGGGCTGAACGAACTCCACCGCTTCGTTGCGGATGCCCGGCGACATTCTTCTGGCTGCCTCGACGGGAAACGCCCGGGTGCTCAGGCAAAAAACACAACACGTTGTTGGAACTGGATCTGCCCCCGAAGCAAGCAGCATGTTGCGATGGGCGGAGCAGCATCGACGCGCTGAATACTTTCGTTTTCCGTGTATTGACAAAAACGACTGTTGTCGAAAAGCAAGCAAGCTGGCGTATTTTGTGAACGGCACAGTTCGGAACCTCTCCCACACCTACCAATGCATTTGTGGTCATCGTGCTTCAAAACAGGTTCTTGTTGTGCCGCCCTGGAGGCGTGTTGGTTCGGATGCTTTGGGTCAACATTCTGGGGTCCCAAAAAGAGAAAGTGGCATACAAAGTAGGCGTTCTCGTTCTGCTGCCTCGCTGCTCCAGCAGCAAGAGTCTGATAGACACGTGTCCACTGGACCCAAGCGCAACGCGTTGAGGAATACACAGTAGTGTGCAGCACACACCCCGTTTTGGCGGGTCACGCGGAATGGGGTAAGCAACTAGCTACGTCGAAGTCCCGACCAAGGTAGCAAACACACCAATATCCTTTTTTCGTATGTATGTTGAAGCCACTGATATTATTATCACCAAGTTGACTGGATACCTCACCCATTCTTTGGAGGCAACCGATACAACGCCAGGATCAAACGAACGGAAACAAAACGGAGGCAAGAGGGGTGTTAACATACACCAAACAAGTAGGGAAAATATAACTGCACAAATCTAGCAAGCCGGGTGAGCACTGTTCTAAAATCAACCTCAGCGTCGCAACCTTCACCAACTGCTTCGCTGCTCGTCAGCAGTGTTCCCTGCAGCAAGAGTTGTCGGCGTTTCTGTTGGCTCGCGACATGTCGGCGGCGTTGAGAGTGCAGGCTCTCAGGTCTTCCCGCCCCGTGAATGGTTGTGGGAATACCGTGGGGCGCGCCCTTGGTCATCCCATGTGCGATCGCCCCTCGGGGTGTTTACGCTGTTTTCGGCACGCTCTCTTCGGATGGCCGTTTCTTCGGCGTTTTGAATTTTGCTTATTCCACAAAGAAGCAATTCAAGAGCAAACAACGAACGCCTCTGTCTTTCTTTTTCGACAATGTCAGTACATGCTGAACAACACCCACACGGTGCTTTCCGTTAATGTAGTTATTTCGTGCAGTGGAGCTTGGGTCAAGGCTGGGTGCCTCTATGCTCAACACCCACACCCAACATCCCTGTAGCTAGACTATCGGACAACACAACCCACTCCGCCAGATCATCGTTCAAGAAAGCAAACAATCATGTGTGGCGTCTTGGGGCCCTAAGAGCAGGGAAGGAGCGAAACCAGGGGAGAGTCTTCGTAATGTAGGGATACTTTCGCATCCCAGCCACAAGCACCGACCCTCCGCGGCCGCCATACCGCACCGGTGACCGTTGGCCCTGGAAACATGAACCGTGTAGTGTAGGAAAGAGGCTCATGGATTTCTCATCGAACGGTACTCCCCTGTGACCTTCCCCATTGACGTCAGAATCTGAGGAAGATGATGATCTACAGGTACCCGTGCAAGGAAAGTAGCTTCGATACCAGAATAGAACCGTCGCCAAACGATGATGGTTTGCCTGTTAGTGTCAACACCTACACGCCCCTTCTTGTGCGAAGCAAAGTTCTCTCTACAACATATCGTCCTCGGCCGTCTCCCTGCTCACAGTCTCTCGTGCAGCGTCAGGTTTCCGTGTCGGTATTGCCGCCTCTCCCCTAGAAATATTTGTGTCAACTGTTCTACTTCCAGCCTCCAATTTGGCTACTTTGGCGCTCCTTGCGCGTGTCAGGGTCCATTGGCAGTGGGTGAGACTAACCGAGTGCACTTGCGCAGACGACAAGTAGAAGGTCTACCTGCACCACTTTAGTCACATGACCCAGCTGCTGGAATGGTGGCGATTGATGCACAATATGTGCTTCGTCGACGATATCAATACATGCTTTTTGCGGGAGCCGTGCAACAGTTGCTGCGTTAAGCCATAGTACAACTGCGAACGATCTCTGAGGAGTTGACACTCTGTGGTTTCGAAGAGAAGCAAAATCTCCGCAGATAAATGATGTTGGAGCGATCATGGAAGCGAACAACGCCAGTATTGACATCGGATGCCAGCTCTTCATGGCGACAAGCCAAAGACGCAGAATGGGGCTGTATGGAGGGCTCACCTAGAAAAGTGCTTCGTAGCCAACTCCTCGCATTGCGTTTACAGCAGATCATCAAGACCAGTCGTGTGGATGGTTGATGTCGGGTTGCTGGACGGGAACAAATGAATGTGTTCGAGAGGTCAGTCCCAAAATGACCCATTTACCAAATAAGCACCCTCAAGACGTCGAGTCGCCTCACCAGCCTTTCATTATCCTCCTCCCTCTTCTTCGTTTCGGTGGCCGTGTCTTCCCTCCAAACGTCAAGTGTAGCCTCAATGCCTTCCATTGCCGCCGCAAGTTCCCTCCGGTCTTCCTCGGCCCGTTTCCTTGCAGCGTCCGCATCTTCCTCCGCAGCGGCCGCCTCTTGTCTTGCAGCTGCAATGTCTGCCCTGAAATCCGTGAGCTCAGCGGCGTACTCCCGAGCCTTCTGCCTTGCAGCTGCCGCCTGTTCCTGCGCAGCTACCACATCTTCCGTTGATGCCTTCGAAAATTTCGTCCACTGTCGGCAAGCATGGGGCGGGAGGCGTGGGAGGAAGAGTGCATTGCTGGTTGGTCGTTGGACCTATTGCTTTTTCTCAGTGGCAACTCGTTTTTGAGAGCGCGCCGAAAAGCCTTACGTGGGTCGGCAGTGGACTCAACACCGCAACACTTCCTTGGTAGGGATATCAGCTCTTCCTTCCGATATCCCCATAGCCGTGCTATGATCTCGTGTTCGGACCGTCATTGGGACAACCTACAAGTCAGAAGTCGGTACATCGTGCTTCTAAACAAAAGTTAATGCCCGCGTCCAGTCTGGCTTTGCAGCCACGAACACGTCCCCCCAGGGTTGCCATCCCTGTGATCAGTACTGCCTTACCCGGGAAGTTGCATCATCGGTACAAGAGGTTCATCGAGTCTTCGTAAGGTAGGAATACTACTATGTACTTCGTGTTTTCATTTTGTCAATCTGATCGCCTCCTAAACGCTTCTTTCGCAAACCAGCTTCAAGCACCGACCCTCTGCGGCCGCCATACCGCACCGGTGACCGTTGGCCCTGGAAACATGAACCGTGTAGCGTAGGAAAGAGGCTCATGGATTTCTCATCGAACGGTACTCCCCTGTGACCTTCCCCATTGACGTCAGAATCTGAGGAAGATGATGATCTACAAATACCCCTGCAGGGAAAGTAGCTTCGATACCAGAATAGAACCGTCGCCAAACGATGATGGTTTGCCTGTTAGTGTCAACACCTACACGCCCCTTCTTGTGCGAAGCAACGTTTTCTCTACAACATATCGTCCTCGGCCCTCTCCCTGCTCACAGTCTCTCGTGCAGCGTCGGGTTTCCGTGTCGGTATTGCCGCCTCTCCCCTAGAAACATTTATGGCAACTGTTCTACTTCCAGCCTCCATTTTCGCTACTTTGGCGCTCCTTGCGCGTGTCAGGGTCCATTGGCAGTGGGTGAGACTAACCGAGTGCACTTGCGCAGACGACAAGTAGAAGGTCTACCTGCACCACTTTAGTCACATGACCCAGCTGCTGGAATGGTGGCGATTGATGCACAATATGTGCTTCGTCGACGATATCAATACATGCTTTTTGCGGGAGCCGTGCAACAGTTGCTGCGTTAAGCCATAGTACAACTGCGAACGATCTCTGAGGAGTTGACACTCTGTGGTTTCGAAGAGAAGCAAAATCTCCGCAGATAAATGATGTTGGAGCGATCATGGAAGCGAACAACGCCAGTATTGACATCGGATGCCAGCTCTTCATGGCGACAAGCCAAAGACGCAGAATGGGGCTGTATGGAGGGCTCACCTAGAAAAGTGCTTCGTAGCCAACTCCTCGCATTGCGTTTACAGCAGATCATCAAGACCAGTCGTGTGGATGGTTAATGCCCGGGTTGCTGGACGGGAACAAATGAATGTGTTCGAGAGGTCAGTCCCAAAATCACCCACCATTTACCAAATAAACACTCTCAAGACGTCGAGTCGCCTCACCAGCCTTTCATTATCCTCCTCCCTCTTCTTCGTTTCGGTGGCCGTGTCTTCCCTCCAAACGTCAAGTGTAGCCTCAATGCCTTCCATCGCCACCGCAAGTTCCCTCCGGTCTTCCTCGGCCCGTTTCCTTGCAGCGGCCGCATCTTCCTTCGCAGCGGCCGCCTCTTGCCTGGCAGCTACAATGTCTGCCCTGAAAGCCGTGAGCTCAGCGGCGTACTCCGGAGCCTGCTCCCTTGCAGCTGCCGCCTGTTCCTGCGCAGCTACCACATCTTCCGTTGATGCCTTCGAAAATTTCGTCCACTGTCGGCAGGCATGAGGCGGAAGGCGTGAGAGGAAGAGTGCTTTGCTGGTTGGTCGTTGGACCTATTGCTTTTTCTCAGTGGCAACTCGTTTTTGAGAGCGTGCCGAAAAGCCTTATGTGGGTCGGTCGTGAACTCAACACCGCAACATTTCCTTGGTAGGCATATCCGCCCTTCCTTCCGATATCCCCATACCCGTGCTATGATCTCGTGTTCGGACCGTCATTGGAACAACATGCAAGTCATAAGCCATACGAACGGGGCATGCACCTGCCGCGAGCGCTCTTGGTTCGTTGCTTCCCGACAATAATGATTGTAAACCCCATCTACTGTAGGCATGAAACAGAGGTAAGCAAGCTAAATCATCGGTAGATTGTTAGCAACTTACGATTGTCCACGCTGCTCCAATGTAGAACAGTAGTCGGACCAGTACCATTGGCTCAGCCACTGCCTCGGCCCAGCATGTCTAACGAATGACGGGGGTGGCATTTACAAGAGGGCAGAGGTACGTCGGCAGTTGAAGGTATATTCATATGACAGAGTTGATTCACAATACGGTTTACGTTGTCACCAATGCACTTGTGGCGCCACCGGAGAACACTCCGGGAAAAGGGCATACTCTCCTGCGCTAGTATTGTGCCTGGTAATCGTTACACTAAATTGCATACTCGTACATGATTACTACAGGCGCAGGTACATATAGTCAATTTATTCTCAGAAGTTGGGAGTTGGACGAGGCCACTTGCCCAGGTGGACGGACCCAAACTTCAACCATTTCGTGTATTCTCTGTTGGCCACCAGCCCGTGCGTGCAGTCTCATCTAAAAATCGCGCATATCGTTATCTCGTTGCCTACTGCAACCTTGCAAGCGGCCAAGTGGGGATGCTTCATAGTGTCCTTCGCATTTTCCATTGAACCCGGGCCGTTCACGGGGCGATCGTACCGAAGCGTGGTCGGAAAAAGCATCTGTCAGCATCGCTCACTGTAGGTAATGCTCCATAGAAGTAGAGAGTTGAAACCGCCAATGGGCGAGTTTCTACAAGCGAGCAAACACCTGGTGTCCCCGACGCCCGGCATCGATCATGGACGTCGCTCGGACATTGACTCGTGTAAAACAAAGGTTTTGGTTGTTTGTCAGGGCTTATTTTGGGGTGACGAAATGAGAACACCAAATATCCTCCCCGTACCTCGGGCGAATCGCGGCCCGAACATTTTTCAGTGCCGTAACCGTGTCAACCTCGTTGCCCCGCTGAGCAAAATCTAATAGCTAAGGACAAGACCGCCGACGACCCTGAAACCAGTAGGAGGCGAGTCAAAGCTGGGGGTACGTGATTGGTCCAGCGAGCACTGAATCAACCGAATCTTGCAAGAGCATACTACCCTCAACACTGCAAAAATGTGATAGCTCTGAGGCATAGCCGAGTATCAAACTCGGTTGGCATGATACTGTATCCTTTTCGCTGTACAACCAAAGTGCTGCTGGATTGGTCGTACGCGGTCAACAAACAATTGTTGGCCCTATGGATAGCATTGCCAGCAGAATGTGTCCGTCCTGTTCTACCCCCATTTGGGCGAAACCCACCGTGGTTTGTAGCCCCCTGCGGCGGCCATATTGTCTGCACCGTAAATCATGACCCCCCCCCTCCCGACACGTGTGTTGTTGCGGTTCCCCGACATACATTGTTGCCCTTCCGGGAAATATTTCATCAACGGCCTGCGGCACTGTCAATTTATCGCGCTCACCGAGGTGTCAGGGGTCTCCTCGTCGAGCCCGGTTGTCGTTAGTCCTGCTTCCGGCCGCAGCACCATCACCGGAAACAATTCCCCTTGGCCTTGGCGGTTCCTCGATATCTGGGTTTGCGTCGAGCAGTTGGGAGGTCTTATACAAGTATGTGTGAACCTATTTCCCTTCAGGCAATGGGACATATACCTCAGCTGCATGATCTTTCAACCGAACGCGTTTGACGGTAGTTTTGACGGACACCCTTGTCCAACGGGTGGAGGAGCGAAGGATACGTGTTTCCCGGTTTCTTTCGTCCAGCGCGGGTCAGATCATTTTGCACCGAAACAATTTAGAGAAACCTCAACCTGATCCACTTGCAGTATTGATTAATTTTTTGCGAGTCTGGTCAAGGTTCTTCGGTCTCCCTTCTCAACGCCTACCATTGACCCATTTTGGGTGTATTTTTGTCAACCTCCAGACTAAACTATGAAACGTCCCGCCTCCGACGCGGCTGCCTTTTGAAATGATGCAAAAGTAGTTGAATTTACGACTTTGCACGGACATCGCACCACATGCCCGAAGGTTCGACGAGCGACGGCGCATCACGTCACTGAGGAATATTTCTGCGATCGGCACAACCTCGATCGATGACATAGATCACAAATATTCAAAATCGTTTGTTGTTGTCTTTGGTTTACGGGCGGCGGCAGCTCTTCTACACAGGCAGGATCGTCCCCAGAGAAACTGCTTCGCTGTTAAATGCAGCGCTCATTGCATGTAGGTTCGACGACATGTGGCATCCTTAGCCTGCTGGAGAAGTCATGAACATGAAGTCTAGGTTTCAAGCTGCGAGCACCCACATCTACAGTGCAGTGAGTCCCCTCGGCTTCGGCTTCCCATTTCGTTGACCCAAGGGGTACGAAAGGAATGCTTCTTAGTAGTTGTAAGCCAAACATGTTACCCCCTAATTTATCTTGTCTCGCCTTGTTTAGGTTGGTGTGCACAGATTGTATTTGCTGTGCTGTACGAGGAAGTTTAATAAATCTGTCTACTTAGTAGACAAAGTAAGTAGTGTTCCACAGTACCCTTTTTTGTAGCGCCCATACAAGCACACGCACCGCAGGAGGGCGGTGGGGCACGAAAAAAATAAAAAGAATAGAAAAGCCCGGGCGTTTACCCCCCTCCTGTGTGACCCTAGACGGTTGTAGTTGTACGAAAAAAATTACACTGAAAAGTGCACAGTAGTACGCTACATACGCTGAAAACTGTAGTACACGTCTCACCACGAAAAATGGGGGGACTCTCGCCATAATAAATAGGACGAAACACACACACACAAGTACACGACATGATGGGCATCGCTGCGGAAGGTGCTCACCAGGGAGAAGAATAATTCTGCAATTATTGCAACGAGCAGAACTACCATCGCTGCCAGCATGCCGAGCAATCCAACCAACGGCCGTCTGGGGCCATCCGCACCAGCAACAGCTGCGGCAGGTGGATTGTTCGGTTGCTGCTGCTGATGGGGCCGTTGATGCTGAGTCGGCATATCTGTTCGCGTGAATGAATGGTTCGATGTTGGTCAATGACGGCGTTTTGAGGCGTATGAGCGGGCGCACGGTTGTCTAATACTTCCTCACAGTAGTAAGAGAACCTTGGCTGGATTGGCAAGGGAATAGGTTAACGGGCATGAAGCTCTACAGTGCTCGACGATGCTACCGCTACCTGAGCAAAACCTGAAGTAGCGTGCGACTGCACAGAAAATATGTGACATACGAACCTAAGCCATTAGCGCCTACTCCGTAAACATTGCACCACACTTCACAACCCAATGACTTCGGTCCACGGGGGCGTCCGAGGGATTGACTGCTATTCGCAGGTCAGAACATGAACGAGCCCTAACACGGGACCCGCGAATGCCCAATCACGGGCCAACCGCGACCGCGAGCGAGTCCACATGTTTGGTGCATGATGGGTCTTCATGTATCGCCATGAGCACGGATGGATACAAGAAGCAATTGTTTCCAAGGTTTCTATTTAACACACGCACAAAGGGAGGCAGGGCCAAATTTATCATGGTATTCGTGCTATGGTGCGATTCGGGACCAGTAAATATATGTTATCGAGCCCTTCGTCAGAAACCAAGAGATGACACCCAATGGACACCTCTCCCTGTTTCATATCGGTGTCTGAAATATGAACTTGACGGCAGGAAGAATGAATAAGTGCCTTCGAGTGCTGTGTGTGGAGTGACCTCTACACCAATACGGTGTTAGCCTCGTGTGCAAGGTAATGTGTCGGAGCTATGTAGGAATACGAGGGTCACGCGTTCGTGCGACCGAGGTTTGTGCCTCGTGCCTGGTTACCGGGAGATCTCTCTCGGTCGTTTAATGTTATACAAAGCACCATATTTTTCGAGTGCTCGCACCGATCATCGAGATTCAGCCCGATAGTTCATTTTTTGGAGGAAGATTTCGAATGAAAATGAAAGACACAGATCCCTTTCCACGTCCTGTGGAAAGCCGCACTACCTGATGTGACATACATCAAACAGAGACGCATGTGTGCAAGGATGTCATCTACGCATCACTCGGTTACAATCTCCAGTGGTATACAGTGCATATCCCATGTCCCAAAAGTTTGGATGGGTTCAGAAGGTTTTGAATGAAATGATGGAAAACAGCGGAGCTGCACCCGGTGGAACCCATGGAGACCGTAGGTGCTTAAGTGCTGCCTACGAATCGTATGATCCACATCACGCAGTGCTATCGCCCAAGCCGACTTGACAGTAATTGTATCAAGATAGTTCGTGTCTTAGTTCATAGGTTTTCTAAACTGTTTTACCACATGAACAAACATACTATCCTCTCATGGAGTAAAGACTACAGTAGACTGCATGCATCTGCGGCAGAAATATTCATTCTGACTTCGTGATGCAATGATCGACTGTCGTTATTTCTGTCACCCATCGTATTACACTGCTGTGCATTCAGTTGTTGAGACCCTGCCGCCCTGACCATCCCTTCCTACTGGTATCATCGCGTTCCGGGAGTTACAGTAGAGCGGCAATTGAGCGAACTCGCTATTGTCATGCTGATTTTGATCGATGATTGATGTGCCCGGTTTGCACACCTAAGGCAAGAGGGAAAGGCGAACAATACCCTGCTGCAGGTGTTGTTTCCCTGAACAATTTCACGTTGAAAACGCAACATGTTTACTGGATTGTGGGCCCCCGACGTGTGTTGTTGCATTGCACGGACTGGCAAGCAATCCTTCAGTACCCTTGAAGTTAGCGCGAGAGCTGCTACTTCGTTGATTCTTTGATTCGAATTTCAGTTCACAACTACATGTACTGTAAGTTTTTTCAATGTGGTACGCGTATGTACCGGGTATTTGTTTGTTTTTTTTTTTTTTTTCTTCACTTCAAATCAGCGCTCACAGCACTAGTGCCGTTTATTCCAATCCGTGGTCACACAGAAGAGCCTCTCTCTACCCTCCCCTCCTGCGGTACTTCGCCTTCAATTTTTAATGCGAGAAGAGTTCAGCACTCTCTTCCCTGTGTGTACACACGAACTAGCGCTATCCAAATGGCCAGGAGCGGAAGCGAGAGAAAAAGCCCCTTTGCAAGAAAAGCTCGCCTACGCCGGGATTCGAACCCTTGACCTGACCTCTAGAAGGTTACGAGGCTACCAAGTAGACCACCGGGGCGACCGGTATTTGGCATGAGAGGAAAAAGGGGTTGTTCGACGTAGTTTGTAAGCAATTTTGACGGTGTATGGGCAGGGGAAGTACTCCCTGTGTCCGTATTGTACCCAGGTGTCGTCGCATCAGTTGTCGCATCAGTTGGCAGTGATCGATAATTCGGGTGGCTCAGTTGTGTGTGATGGGAGCGTAGAGCGGCTCGGCCATGACGGGCCGCACGGGTAGGTAAAGACGTGTAGACGTGGTGGAAAACGTGTTGTATTCATCGGGGGCGTGCTTGAGCTCGTCATTCCATCACGGCATCAAGTCACGCATAACGCTTTAATACCCAGAACGAATCTCCATGAATCTCCACCAATCTACTACATTCCCAAGGAAAACACAAAGAAACTTCTTGTCCCTCCGTAGTTCGTCACTGCAATCCCCGCATATGTATACGCAATATACCACCCCCATGCTATGCTACGAGTATATCGAATAGCCCCCCTGCTCGTATGCATCGTCATGCTCCAACAAAATATCAAGTCATCCTTATCATACCAGTTCATCCCAAAACAAATCAAAACCAAGACAAAATCGAAAACTCCAACACCAAAACAATACCTCCTCCAAAAACAATCAATCGCATACCAACTCTTCCAAATCATCAAGAAAAATCCCAAACATTAACCTTCCAAAACACTACCATCTCCACTTGACCCTCTCTATCTCTTGTTCAAACTCGTACATATCCTCTCTATTCCACTCAACGGCAAAGCACGATTTGATCCCAAAACACCTCTGTCACTGCAAATTCATCACAAAGTCTCTGTGCAACGCAAAAGATTCCTTGCTGATAGCCTTCAAGAAATCTGCATGCTGAAACTCCGACGCCACATGGGTAATCGAAATCTCCTTCCTCTCTACCAGTTCCCTAATAAAGTGATGTCGTACATCAATGTGCTTCGAGTTTGAGTTCGTGATCGGGTTGTGCGCAATCTGAATCGCTCCCTGATTATCCTCGAAGATTTGAATGCACGGCATACCTGCATCTGGCAACATAAAACGCCAAACTTGCCTCAAGAAAAGCACCTCCTTCAAGACGTCGGCAATTGCCACATACTCTGCTTCCGTTGTGGAAAGCGTAACGCACTTCTGCGTCCTCGAAAACCAAGTCACACACCCACCCCCACACATCACTAGTCCTCCTGAAACCGACCTACGGTCTGCTGCCTTGCTCGCATAGTCAGCATCCACAAACACCTGCATGCTCATGCCAGTCACGACACCCCTCTCAAATGTAATCCCCATCCAACTCGTCCTACGCACGTACCCTAAAATACCAAGTGCTGCCTTCCAGTGCACCATCTTGGGAGACGCGCAATACCGCGCTACTGCTCGTACTGCATTCGCGATGTCCGGCCTGGTTTGAGTGGCCAACCACATC